TCTAGAAAAATCATACCTCTCCGAATTTTTCTCATTACATTCGGTTTCTGATATGTAATTTTGGACTTCTTTAAGATTGTTACAACAGTGAGAAAAGTCAAAATAGATTAACCTCCCAAAATAGCAACATTCCCAAGCCAAAGTCCAGAAAAATCATACCTCTCCGAATTTCTTTCATTACATTCGGTTTCTGATATGTAATTCTGGACTTCTTTAAGATTGTCTCAAGTCAAAGTCCAGAAAAATCATACCTCTCCGAATTTACCATCCTGCAGTTCTGAATCCGCCTTGTAGCCAAGGGGTCTCCGAGGTGCTGGAGATGTTAACAATTCCCGGGTTTCGGCACCATATGTCCCGCGCCCGCTCTGTATTCCTCGCCAGCAAGAAATACACGCAGGAAACTCGGATCCTTCTGCAGACAAGCTTTAATGCATTAGACTGAACAGAGACTGAGCAGAGACTGAGCAGAGACATTGAACTAAGAAAACCATCCCTATATAAAAGGCTGACCAGCCGCCTGGGACGTATTACCCTATGAATGGCTTTAGCTCCTCAGGCTAAAATGAGCCACGGGATAGGCAGAGATCAAAGGAATGGAGATAACCCGGCACCTGTGAAGTAATTTACACCTTGGTGTCTTCAGGCAGCATTATAATGCAGGAACCGGCTTCCTACAATCTGGGAAAAGAAGATCGAGGAACAAGAAAAGAAGAAGGAGAGTAGTACATCAGGGGCCAGCCACCCAGCTAAACAGCAAGTCACTGAGTAAGAAGTGCAAACAGGTATATAGAAAGGTAAAGGCCCGGAGGCAAAAGATAGATGGGATAATTTAAGTTACGAAAAGTTGTCTAGAAACCAGCAAGCTAAGGCCAGACATTTTTAAGTAATAGTATGTCTCCCTGTGTGATTATTTAAGAGCTAGGTGGCAGGCCCCCCAAAGAGTAAGAACAACAACACTCATGATCTGTCCATTCTGTTGCTTCTATGGCTGTGGCAAGGTGTCATATGATGGAATGCTACAGGGCAGAACAAAATCTCTCATCTTATGAGAGCAAATGAAAGGGACCAAGGTGTTTCATAATCCCTTCTAGAATATGTTTCCCTGGCCTAAAGACATTCCTACTCAACCCCACTCGTGACTATGACTTATGAGATTAACCTATGGGGTCCAAATTATAGCCAGTCATAACCATATCACCATCCCACAGTTATTCTGTTTATTTGAATGGAGACTGAGAGAAAATCCTGTCACATTAAATCCTGAGAGGTAGGTACAGCACACTAGGGCAACAAGCTTTTGGCTAAAGAAGTAGAAAACCCCTGAGTCTAACAACAGAAGTCTGTTTCTGTGCTAAAGATTCCCAAGACTTGCTTTGCCATTGTTAAAGCATAAAAAAAATATTATTTCTAGATTAAGAACCTTAAGATTTCTTCCTTAAAGACAATGTAGTATCTCAAACAAACAAGAAAAGACAATTCAACATGTATTTCATGAAAGAAATACAGGACAAGATTAATTTTTCCAAATCACCTTATTAGCATGCCACTAATGTGTATTTCAAAAACTGAGCTTTTACAATTATTTTATTCTAATCTTTCTATATACATACTAAATATGTTACCTAAATATTTATTTACAAAGTCATTGTTGTTTTATGTGCTCTTAGATTGTGTAAACCCATATGGCAGGAATATATGTTATTTACAGATTAATTATATTGGTTTCCATTTGATTATACTGCATCAAAAGTCTTAAAATTTACTTCACCTGTGCTTTTATATTGTTTTGTTCTCCAGAGAGTATTTGTCATAAAGAAAAGACACTTTGAAAGTGAGTACCTCTAAATAAATAAATAAGTGGTTGTTGTGATGTCTCATGCCTTAATCTCCAGCACTTGGGAGAAACCAGAGGAGAGGTGCAAGTTTGATCAAGCCCAGACTCTGCAGTGAGTAGTCAGGCACCTAGACTACCGAGTAAGTCCCTTCCTAAAATAAATAAATAAATAAATACCAGAACAACCATAAAATTCTAATAAAACGATTTCAATGAACTTTTTCCACCTCTCATAGTTAAGAAAAGGTAATGTCATTATCAATATTTTTAGAGCAAAACCATAACAAGGCATAGCATATAAATTTAAAC